GGGGAAGGATGCACAGAATCAATTGGGTTTTTTGTTTAGATGATTGTTCAGCGCGAATGAATGCCTGTCTCACAGATTCTTCTGAAGTATCTGCATAAGTAACTGGGGGATTTATATCTATTATGTTCATTTCAGCGTCAGAGCAAGTACTGACTAGCTCTCGAATAAAACGTTGGATTATTATAGGCGGTAAGTCCCGTCCACTTCTAAAAGAAATTACAGACCATGAGCCAAGAGTCACACCATTAGCAACTTTCTTATCCTGCATGTTCCAAGACCCATCTCTGGGTGTGATCGACGATTCCTTAGAGGAAACATGATAATTTATGACAGGCGCGGGCAATACACGAGCTGGCGTGACAACCATTTTATTAGAAACCCCTATTCTAAACTCTTGCATTTGCTTGTTTTCATGATAATTCAGTAAATTAATTCCTTGATTAATTTTATGAGCTCGATATTCCGTTGCATATTTAACCATCTGTGCTGTCTGTTTTTCATCAAGTCTCTCCATGTAGTGCTGTCCCTAGTTATACAGAATATACAGTATATACAGTATATATTATTTAAAAAATAGTCACCCCCCCAAAAAAGAGATATAACAATTTTGATCAAAAAGATACTAACGGGAACGACTTCACATATCTCGATTGGAAAAATTATGTCATTTTGAACTGCAACAAGGGGAAGATTTGAGTAATTAAGGTGAATATTATAATTCCTTAGATAATATAATGCAACCGTCATTGTTTGCCCCTCCGTTTCAAATTTCATTTGATTCGCATTCTGCGAGGTAAGTGCAAGTATTTTATATTGACGTTCGTGTGTATTATCCCCATGGCTGACACGAATTTTAAGATTCTTCAAATTCCTTTCAATTCTTGACCGTTGCATTTCATTGATCTTCGAAATGTCCGTTAAGTCTCGCGTCAGTATACCCAGAAATTTCGCAACTACCCGTATAAGAGGGCCGGCCTGGTAGAATGTGGTACAGCTCGAATCGATATTTATCATCATTTTGCCTGTCACAAAAAAATATCATCAATTATCGTAAAAAAACATTGATCTAAATTTGCCATGGAATATTACCAACGGCAGGGCGAGCTGATTGATAGTATCCTTGCCATACTTCAGCTCCCCCAACAATGGCCTGAGAATTTTCGGATGTGTAAAGTGTGCGACCAATGGAAGTAAAATTTTGATCCAGTAATGGACCATGGCGGCTAAGTACACTTAGCACATTTATAGCTTTCAGAATGTCATTACTAATCTTTGATTTTCCTTCTAACCAACGATTTAGTTCTACCATATTTATTTCTTTTACTTTCATTATTTTAAACTTAAAAGCCAGTGGAGGACTTTGGTATGCCTTAACATCCTCATTTTCGGGCAAAACGACATCGAAGGTCGCTGAGTCACCAAAGGGAAACTTCTTAGCAGAATACACATTTTTACGGCCATCAAATACGGGCTTAATGTTATTCAAAGTTATGGCATTATCTTCCTCGAATTTCCTATATATTCTTCGATTCAACTTCGGTGGTGCATTGGGG